AAAAACTTAGAAAATTTTAAAAAGCATAATAAAAACATATAATAGGTGCAAAACCACCATAGGTGCGTTTTATAATAATTGTATTTTTTAAACAGTATTACAGCCAGAAAAATATTTTTAAAGTGCTTGTATACATTCACTTCATCAATGGTGCAAGATAATGTACCAAGAAAAATTTAATAAAAACTTTAATGTTAAGTGGTATATATTTGTTTCCTCGATTATTTTATTAGCACATAACAATAGGAGTTAAAAAATAGTGAAATAAATTCTGGATTCGCTACGCTGCGTGTATTTTTCAAAACGTTATACTGTAACACTTATTGTACCGTATATGTGGTTATAACCTTTTTTTTTTTTCAGAGATAAATTTAACACACTGACAACTTAAAAAAATATTCACTACCGGGTTTCAATTTTATAAAAATCAATTTCGACTAAATTTTGGGTTTCGGCAAGGGCTTCAGATTTCGGCATGAGTTTCGGATCAGGGTTTCCAACTTTCGGTTTCGTCAAAACCATTAAAAGTTTCAGTCACATGTATAATCTACAGGTTCAATTTCATCATCGTCTTCTTCATCAGGTAAAGGTTCTGGTAATTCAAAAGAGACATTCTCAAACCTTCCTGTATTGAAAATTAATTTCATCTAAATATTATATAAATATATATATATACTTTAATATACATTTTGTGAATTACCATTTTTATCGTCCCAAAAAACTAAGTATAATATTTGTTCATCTACTAAACCAAGTTTTGCTATACTAGGATCCTCTCCATTTTGGGTTGGTTCCAAGCTAGTAAAATTAGGTGGGTTACTATTATCTGCTCTATACAACTTTATTTTTATATCGATACCCAGTTGTTTTAAGATGTCTTTCTTCAGTTGAGAAATCTTATCATTTCCATTGGCTGTTACAAATAACGTACTTTTATGTCGTTTGACGCGAAAATAATATTGTTGAAGTTCTCTTTCTTTTTCTTCTCTGTCTTTCTATTTATTAATAACGTCCGAATTAGCTTTTTTTAAAAGGAATTTTATAAACAGCTACTTACCATTTTAACACTTGCTATGCGCTGGGTGTTCTTTTCATATATAAAAAAAAATAACACCAATAGTCACATACATTAATGAATACGCAAATTAATTGGTTATCTATTTCTATTTAACAGACATTGTTACACGATTATACGGCTATCGCTATTTTTAATTTAAAAACTTTATACGTAATAAAATTTGAATTTATAAGTGTTTGTCAAGATCGTTTAGGATCCAAATTTATTTATATATATCGATATAGTTTTTTAGAAATCTAAAGTTGTGCCCTGTAAGTTAATAATTGATCCAAAGTTACTATCCCTACTGTCAAACTTAAAATATCGATATGATGCAACATAGAATACAATCCAATAATACAGATCACTCGTGACAATTTGCAGGAAAATTGCTTGAGACGATTTAAGGTTAATATCAGAGCAAAGAGAATTTACTAAGTCTTCTTGAAACTTCAAGTTGTAGAAATAATATAATAGTTAAAATTGTTAATATAGGGGTTACTGTGACCCGGATCAAAATAGAATTTTCGTTATAACTTATATACTAAAATATCAGTCTATATATTGTTTTATATCTATAAATCTTTTATTAGTAATAAAGCTGTGCTTATACCGGTATTAATGTTATTTATATAAATAAATATATGTTTAATTAATAATTGAAACACAAAACAAAATATTTCATTTAATTTATTTAAATTACATCGTATAATATAAATTCTTAAAAATATCCAGGTATACTCTTTAGCAAATTAGGTCGATAAAGCCCCAAGCCGTCTAATGTGTGGTAAATCAAGCCTGTCAAAAAAAAAAAAAAAAAAGGTTAATAAAAATCGTGAAATAATGAAAGAAATTAAAGTTAGAAATCATACCATGCTGGTACATAATTATCAGGAGGATGCACTTCACGCGGAAGAGGGACTTCAAACGGACCCGAATCTTCCAAAGGTGTTGTATCAAGCAATAAAATATCCTTCCTATCATTCGCAGTTACTCGACTTGCGACAGCTTTCAAAATCTCAGGGCTAATTGGGTTCTATATAAAATAATGAGGTATAAGTATTCAATAACAAAATTTTCTACTTAACATAACTTAATTACCTCATAGTCAGCCACAAAGTAATGGCTTATAAGTTTTTGAATTTGAGACGGCGTCAACATCCAACAAACATCGTATATTATTTCAATGTCTCCCAACGTAGCCTGTTTATCAATTTAGCAAAGATAAATATAGAAAAAATAAAACTCAAAACAAAATAAAATCATGATTAGAATAAATCAATATGTATGTACCTTTTTAAGTTGCAGAAGTTTAGTGGCTTGCATCAAGTGTTCCAATTGAAGTGTACCTTCTGGCATTTCATGGCTTTTACACCACTCTTCAATTCTTGTGATATTGTATTGGATTTGCATTGCTAATTTTATTGTAAAAAAAAAAAAATAAATTATAACGTTGAATTTAAATATAAAGTAATATTAACAATTTATACCTCGTTTCCAAGAGCAGAAATTACGCCTATAAAATAACATTAGATTTATCACAAATGATCAACAATTTTTTAAAACTTTGGTTATACCCTTACCTCATTAGCAAGTCGTTAAATGATGTTACCCCAATAAGTTTCAATAATTCCGTAACAACTTGCTGAATAATAGACATTTCTACATAATATGACTTCATCGCTTTCCAAACTTTGTTTAAGAAATTGAGAAGGTCATCCATGCTGAAAGCTGGTCCTGTAGGTCCAGTTATGAATTTTGTAATAAATCGATTACTTTCACTCGTTATAAAACCTGGTAATGATTGACTTTCGATCACAGCAGGAATGACCATTTTAAATAATCGTTTCTTTAATTCTTTCATCCATGTATGATATATATTATACTCTAAACTTTCCAAATCGTGTTTAACAATTGACACAAGTCTTTCGTAATCATGCCATTCAAAATTTCTACTCGAATCGGATACTAGATCAACTCCACGTAACATATCTTTCTCAGCAGCATTAGCAAATGATAATAATTCGTGCACGTTAGAAAGCCAATATGCTCCTGGAAGAATTGCATCATCACCCTCAAAATCCTATAAAGTAATAAGAGTGTTATGCAAAGAAAAATATACAAAACAATCATTTAAGGTTAAAAACAGATTTTCATTTAGCATACCATAACATGTTCTTGAATGGTTTTCATAACATTCGCAAATAGTCTTTCAGACTCTTTTATAAACCCATATTTCCACATTTGCTTCGCTATAAGACTGATAATTCGAGCTGGAAACAATATTTCTTTTTGGGATGGTGGATTTTGCAAACTTGGAAGAGGTATTTTTAAGGATCTGATTAACCTATTGATAATTTCATCATCAAGCGCTTCATCATCTTCAAGAAGCTTCATAATCTATTGAGAAATTTATAATCGATCATTCTTTTGTATAGTGCAATGTTTGAATCAAGTTTATTAGCATAAAAATTTAAATTACCTGTTCTTCAGGTTCTTCACCTCCAATTATACGTCCTCCTGGTGTCTTGATTTTTGGAATACTCACATGAGTAGTTGAAATTGATGCAGGCCTTAAACCTGGTTTCTCTGCCATTATTAGGTCAATAGAAGTTTTAGGTTTGCGTTTAGTAACTTCATTGGGACCCCATGATTCGGCTGAACTATGTCGACGAGGTCTTCGTTTTTGAGATGGAGGTTTAAGTGTTGTGGTGCCTGCTGATGTCAAGAACCCATTTTCTGTTGGACGATGCGAAGATGGAGGTGTTGCATTATTGACACCACTTTTAACTTTAGCCAATTGTTCTCTTAAAGTAGCAATTTCTTGTTTCAATTTAAGTACTGTAGCAGGATCTTCACTTTTATTTTTCATAGCATCACGGAGTCTGGTAACTTCTTCATCTTTTTTATTAACTTCACTTGTTAGCCGTTGAATTTCACTATCTTTGCTTTTGATCTTTTCAACTTGAATCTGATAATTATTTTCGAGGGCTTCCTTTTGGATTTGTAAAGATTTATATTCATCGATAGCAACAGTAGCTTCTTTGGTTGCAGTTTTGAAATTGTTTGCATTTGCTTCCAATTCCTTATATTTCTCCATCCAAGTTCGTACATTTCCTTCTAATGTAGCAGTTCTAAGTTCGAGTGCCTTATTTTCTTGACTCTTTTGTTCCAAACTTCGGGTTAGCTCAACGACTTTGTTTTCAAGTTTATATGAGACTTCTTTGTAATGAGAAGCAGAACGGGCTTCAATTCGCATTTTCTTAAGCTCTTTCCTTGCGAGACGTCTCCGAATACAGGATTGAATAAAAATAATAAGTCTAATAGTCTTCCTATATTCACAACGTACAACCCTATACATACAAACATAAAAACGTTATCATAAAGAATTAACATCGTTTGAATGTAATTAACATAATAAATACATACCATCCACGATATGTAGCTTGAATTTTTGTTGCTGCAGCATCTCTTTGGAGATCCTTGAACTTGCGCCTTGCAATAAATCCGCGAGCACCTAATTTGAAGTACACACAGTCATAAAATGAATAAATAATTTAAGCATAATTAATGAGAATCAATATGAAAATTCTTACAAAGCTGTAATTTGTATATTGCCTTCTTAGAGCGCAAGTAGCGTTTCTGTTGGATGTATCGTCTCCAAGTTTTTTGAATCATAACTGCAGCTCTATCTTCACGAAGAAGCTTAAGATCCCGCATGGCTTTACGTTTCCTAATTAAGGCTTGAGCTTTGATAGTTACTGTTTTCAATTGTTGATACCTCTTTTGGTGCATATGTCTAAGCATATTCTTTTGCATTAACGTCACACATTCATTTAGTCTGTCAAGTCGAAGTCTCTCTAAATAAGCAAGCTTTAAAAAATAAACAATTAATAATTAATAATTTTGCTATATACATTCAGCAGCAGAGTTGGCCTCCCCCCTCCTGGTACAATTTGAAAACTACTGTAGAGTTGATTTTGCCAAAAAACTTACCATTCCAGCACGGAAAAAGATCTTTGTATTTCCAACTTGATATCTGTCCGGTTCTTTAATTGAGGCATCCAAAATAATTGAACACAATTTTTTAGGGTCAGGTCCCCATTGCGATGAACGAACCAACATGTAATATCTAAAATTGTAAGCATATATTTTATAATTACTTATGAATATCACTAGATTTAATTTTTTTTTAAAAAAAAAAAATATTAATAGTAGCATTATATTCATTACCTTTGAACGAATTCATCAAAAGTCCATCGAGAGGGATAACCTGCACAACTAATTCTAATTGTTTCAAGAACACCACATGCACGCAGTTGACTAAGGATCATTTGAGGCTCAAATCTCCATGCGACTTTGGCTTCATTGGGCTTGATACATCGAATATAAGAAACGTCGGTTGAATTAATAGTTTCCATGAGACTGATTAAAGAACTCTATATTAGACATAGTATGAATTGTTAATTCTTGTTCATAATTAAGTTCGAATAAAGCTTCAGTTCAATATGAATTAAGCTTGCCTTGAAAATTGAACCTAAGGTGGGCTTCTTCGAAATTATGCTTGTTCGTTTTCCATCAGGCTGAAAGGGTAGAAGGTATCATACTTAGTTAATATGTGATATTACATTAATGAAAATATTAACAATGAGAGCTTCTTACGCACCTTGGCTGTGGTAGGTGAACTTTTGGGGGCACCTTTGTTCAAAACATCATCTAAAAATTCAAAATCAGTGCTTTTCAGTAATGCTAAATGTTCATCTGGTACTGTATCTCTGTTCTTTTCCAAGAAATTTTCCGATTCATAAGTAACGCCATGCGCGTAATGAGAAATTATAAATCCAGTATTAGAGAATCGAGGTTTTTGGAAGTATTGTTTGTACTGAGGAGTGTCGAAATTTTTATAAAGTTTTTGACACCAAGAGGCATCGGTACCAGCTGGTAAACGACTTTCCTATTTAACATATTTTAATATTTTATATAAATAAATATATGTTAATGGTTGCTTATCGGAAATTTTATAATGTATTGCAATTTTAAATTGTAAATCTACATAAAAAGAACAGAAATACAAACAAACCATACCTCATCTAAAAGAGAAAGAATTCCTATTTTGCCTTCAATCAATTCAATGCAAGGTTGATTATCACTGAAGTTAATAAATGTCCAATTAATTTTCTCTCGCATATATTCCTAAATATTGAAGAAACGTTAGTGACTAAACATAATAAAATAATATTTATTATATACTTAATTTTCTTACCTCTTGCTCCAATTTAAAGACGTGTTGATTGAACTTTTAAAAAAAAGGTTAATTGAAAGAAATTATAAAACAATTATTAAATAAAAGGTATACAAATTTCATAACTCAAAGCCAAATATACCTGTTGTTGTAATTTCTCATTAGCATAATTAATGCAAAATTGTTCAAATGAATTCTTCTTGAAATGTTCAAATCCATAAATATCAAGAACTCCAATAAAGCTTTTGATATTTTTTTCGATTTCTTCATTGGATAAACACCCATTAATTACGTTTACCAACCAATCAAACAGATTTGCATAAATATATTTTGCAACAGAGTCCCTAACAACACCAGCTTGCTGTACATTCAAATCGGTAACAATTTTTTCAGATCTAGTAACGATTTGTTTTTTTACTATCCATTTTCTAAATTCTTCCAATTTTATACCAAGCAATCTCGTCGCGGTAATTAAAGCTGGATCTGATTCAGACACCATGGCACTATTCCGGCTTGCAGTGATTTGAATATTACCAACGTGCAATAACGCAGCACATAATTTGAAAATTTGCCATTGTATTTCAATTGTAACACCTATTGTGGATAAAGCTTTTTGCGTAATCTCAAATTCTTGCACATCATCAACACCATTTATAGTACCAACACCACCTTGACGTAAATAATGAAATTGACTGTAATCCCCGAGTTCAAGATTTTTCTTTTCAGATGGAGGCGCACCGGAGCATAACTATAAAGCAGTAAAAATGTCAAGATATAAATAAACTTTATGACTCAAAAACGAATAAATAACACCAGAATCATAAATTTAAAAAGTTACTTGGTAAAAAATATGGTAATTTCTTTCACTCTCAGGCTGATAAACTAATCTTGAACGTTCTAATAAATAAGTTCTAATCCTTGCACCAATAATATTTTGGCAATTGTCGAATTGAATCTATAAATTTGACACGGAGCATCCAATTACATTGAGATGATTTCGGTTAAAGTCAAAAAATTCACAATAACGGATCAAGATACATACCTCAAGGTATTTACCAAAACGAGAACTGTTGTCATTTCTGGTTGTTTTGGCGTTACCAAAAGATTCCATGATAGGATTAGTAGCTAGTAACATATTATATGTCTTGTTAGAATAATAAATAGATTTATAGCAAACATATTTAAGATCTCAATAAAATAGTAAGAAACACGTACCCATAAGTTGTTCTTCCACTTCACTCATACCAGATGAACTATTTGGTTTCTTATCGCCTTGTGGTTTTTCTTTATCATCAACCGAAGCAAAGTATCGCATGATAAATCTTGCATTAACAGTTTTTCCAGCACCACTAGATAAAATAAACAATAATTCAATAAAATATTTATGTGGTATTACGAAGAGATGTGTAAAAATTTTAGATTTGTAAATAACCTTTCTCCTGATACAACAATTGTCTGATTTTTTTCATCACGAATCATGCACCGATAAGATTCTTCAGCAATGGCAAACACATGTGGCTCTAATTCACCACGCCGTTTTCCAGAATACGCATTAATAATATCTTGAGAATATAAATTAACTGACTGAAATGGATTCATGGCAATCAAGACTATGCCGGAGTAAGTGTATATATTATGTTGTAAATAACGCGTTTTAATTGTGTGGAGAACTGTTATAATAATAGTTCATATTTGTTAGAAAAATAATTTTCTGTTGTTCATCCTTAACCGATCAGGTATCTTATATAGCAATGAATAGCAGTAAAAAATTAGCCACCCAACACTATATATGATTAGAAACGGTATAAGGAAATCAAAGAAAAAAAGTTTCGTTATGAATTTATTACAACCTGCTGGTTCATTAAGATAACTCAAGCTTGTCAAGTCATCGACTGCCTCAAGCATGGGAGGATTACGCAGAGGAGGCAATTCCGCATTATTGGTTTGAGCAAGTTTAGTTAAGGTTGTCGTGATAACAATTTCCTAACATTGAGGAGATATTACTTATTAGTTTATATGATAAAGAGATTTTATGTTACAACAATCAAATCGCAAATATTTCAAAGGTTGCCAAAAAGTTTACACCGAAAAAATTATATGAAACAGACTCATTATGCCCAAATGAGTCAAAAAGCAAAAACGCGCAGGTGATAGATGATTTGATAAGCTACCTTCCCCTCATCGGTTACAAAGGTCAGCTTTACATTATCACCATTCACATCTTTTGTAACCAATTGAGCACTTATCCAGCCTTCCCTATTGTCAGGAAACCACACAGCCGTCCCTTTTCCATAAACCTCTAGAGAGTGAGAGGCCATCGTGTGAGATTGAGATGACAAATTATACGAGAATGTCACCAAGAGGCACTATCAGCTTCCTGGCCGAACGAAACAACGGTCTAGGAACAGTTGCAAAAATGCAACAGAGAAGCTTTGAACGCGAAAAAAAGGAGAATAAATTAAATCGATACGGAAGACGTATCAAAGAGAATGTTCCCCAAGAAGAGCGTGAGGGGTATCAGTAATATCAGATATGAATATAACACACAACGGTGCTACGTAGTTAACTTTTACAATAGAACTTTAATATATATCGATACAATAACTTTATCATTAATGTTGGTCATTCTGGCCGTTGATTTGACATCTATTGCGATACATGGATATCCAAAAGAAGACCTCGATGTGATATTTCAAATGCACAAATGCAAATATTTATCACATACATGAAAAAAATTTTTTAATACGATAAATGAGTGTTACAAAAAAGATGAACAATTGCTGTTTTAATAATAAAAACAAATTGAAATTGTTTATACGTAACTAAAGCCTCACTACTCTTTAAACCCACCGCTTGCAACTTGTACGTACGTACGTACGTATTTAAATACGTAGTTATTTCCAAATTCATAAGTTAGACCCAGCCAAGTCCAAATTGAAATTTTATCTTACATTGTGTAATTTGTAGATTTTGTAGATTGCTATATTTAATTACTATATTTATTTCTCATCAGGGATGTCAATCTCGCCGACATAATCTCATGATACTGATACTCATCCAACTAAGCCACATTTTTCCAAAAATTACCGCCACCACTAGTGTTAATGTTAGGGTGGCTGATTACAAACGCGTGAATATGTATGTTTTGGTCACACTAAAGTACAAATTTAAACACGCGTGCGAATACGTAGAAAATTTGATTTTATAGATATATCAAAAAAGTAGTCAACTATCTATATATTATTAATTCATTATTATATTTTGTGTCCAGTTGGTTCTCTATTACAGTGTTAGTTGTATAATAAATACATCAAAACATAAAACATGCATGAATTTATGAAAGCTTTAATGTGCGCATTCTGCAAAACCTATGTGCGCGGAGCGCACACTTGTTGATTTATAAGGAGCGAAAAATATTTTTGTGCGCTCTGCCTCTTCCGCACATTAATTTTAGACACTGCATACCATGCGCATCATGCAAAATTGTGAAAGACCCAACTACCACTAGAGATGGTAAATGTTTTAAAACACGATCTTAAAAATCATGATTGATTTTAAATAGTTAAAAATGATTTAACTTTAAGTACCCTAGCCATGGCGAAAAAATAACTACCCCTGGACATTTAAAATCTTGAGGAATAGATACCCTTGGCACAACTACCATAGCAATACGGCACATTTGCCGTATAAGTAGAATTTCCGTATGCCCGTATGTCGTGAGTAAATCAGTGGATTTTGAATAGGCGGAACCAGGTGGCATTAAGCAATAATACCAACCAACTATATGATAGCAAATTATTATTTGGGCAGCTTAATTAGGCTATATAAAAATTTTTTTTTGGTTTTCATAACATAGAACCAGTGTTGGCCGATGACTATGTCATACCATTTTTTTTCCTTGGTCATATAATCATATGATTTTTTGGTCATAGTCATCCGGTCATATTAAGTACAAATGAAAAAAATCTTTACTATGATTCTTACTATTAAAAAAGGTCATAAGTCATATCAATCTTCGTGGTTATTTTCAAAATGAAAGAGAAATATTAAATGTTTTCATTTAATGTTTTTCTGATGGCGAATAATATAGAACTT